CCCTTCATACGAATCGCCATCTCGCGATCAGCCTTGGTTCGGCTTAATGTTGTTTCTTCCCGGGCATCAAATATCTCAGCTCTGACCTTTGAGAGATCAGATTCAAGTTTCCCAATCATATCCGCTTGAACTTTGGCATTGTCATGTGTCAAGCTGAGTTGGGCCTCGAAGGTAGGGACCTTGGCCGAGGCACTCATCTCCTCCAAAGCTCGAGCCTGCACTTGAGCCCTTAGCTCCTCATAATCCACTCTGACGCGGTTGAAGTCGCCTTTGAGATACTCCAGGGCTTCTGCCTTTTTCTGTAACTAATACGGAAAAAGGGGTTAGCCTTAAGGTTAGAAAGGAGCGAAGCACATACTACAGGAAGTTACCTGTTCCATCAAATAGCTCTCATAGTTTGAGCTCTGAATTTTCTGAAGCTTGGCCCCTTAACGGAGCAGCTCAGACATAAGCCTATCACAGGCCTGCACGAGGAAGTTTCAATAGAGGAAGGAGGACACGGGATACAGGGAAATTGTACATAAACTCACCACAAAGAGAAGCCAACGGACTACCTCGAAGTCGAAACACACTCCTGTTGATCATGCCCCTGCGGCCCTGGAAGAACTGAACTCGGGCACGGCATATTCGCTCAAAGGAACCGCCGGCCGGGAATCAAGCACTCCGGGAGCAGCAGACTCTGGCGACGCCCCTTCCTCAAAAATGTGAGCCCGACCAGCATCACTAAAGGCTCCATCACACCGTGGGTGCCGATCCCTCTTATTGTCGTTGTCCATCGGCCCCGAGGCCACTAACTCCTTCCCCTCTTCGAAAGAACATTGCCTCATCCCTAGGAACCACCCCATATCTGCAAATGGTGAATCCAGCACAAATGGAAGGGGAAAGTGTTACCTTGGGTATATGAAGGCAAGGCAAAGTCAGCATACGCACATACCTTGGCATTGCGTTCCCCATCCGGTACGAAGTACAGCGCAACACCTACGCTCGTCGCAGGATGAATGGGTCACCAGCTTCCGGACCCAGTCGGGCAGATCATGGACTTCACCCGGCGTCCATGAAGTTGTTGCAACAAGGGAGACAATGTTATTACTCAGTTGATTTTCTTTATAGGCGAAATCTGAAAAAGTGCCAAACGCCTCACTCACGTGCATAATTCCAACCTTCGAGAAATGGAAAAAACTCCACAGGGATAATATCGGTCATCGGGGCCCGAATAAACCAACTGGCCCACTCTCGATCCCTGCCTTACTTGTCATCAATAACAAAGGGCATGGATGAACAACACCTTAGAGTTAGCAAGCCTCGATGATGAGAGGGTCGATATAGCATGACAAGGTGATCAAGCATGAATTCAATCCTGGCCTTCTCCGCAAAGAACCTCATCATCAACTCCGTCGCCAAAACGACGGATGAATCTGTGCCAGGGTAACCCGGTACTTCAAGCAAAAATCAAGCACAACCCTATCAAGGGGGCCAAATGCGAAAGGGTATAGGTATACGCTCAAGAATCCATCAGTGGAGTCCGCAATGCCCTCATCTGGGGAAAGCACGTGCAGTGTTATTCCCTCGCTCCACCCGCAGTATCTCCTCGCCATCTCCAGGTGTTCCTCTCTTATCAAGGATGCCATTTCCAGAGCAAACTCCCTCGATTCTTGAACATCAGGAACCACACCTCCCGTCCCCTGCCGGATCGGCCCCGACGTGGTTTCCGTGGCTATGGTAAAACTAACAGGTCAAAGCAAGGGCGCACGACAACACTTTTTGCGCCTAAAGAGATGAAGTAACCTGTTCCAAAGCGGAAAGGCGGCTATCTAGAAATAGTGAAGTCCTGCGAAGAAGCCGAAGCAGCCTCACATATATGCGAGAAGCAGCGACGACTCGCCTACCCGAGGCAAGCCCCGGGAAGCCAACAGCCTCGATACAGATCGACGGGTCAGTACCCGATCCAGGAAGCACCCTTCAACGAGAAGTCAAGACTTGGGGAGCCATCCATATTATCCCCAAGCTCGAGATAGCATTCTGTCTCGGGATCCCCGGTCCAAAGAAGTCAGACTTCAGGAAGCCTTCAGCGCCGGCACTTGACGCAAGAACGTGGTCTCATGATTCCCTCTTTCTAAAAAGAGGAGTAAGCACGGGAAGCTCCGTTCGGGAAGGCTCCACGAAGGTCCGAGGCAGTGCCTAAGCACAGGCAAACTCTTCAGCAGAAGTCTATCCTATACATTCTAAAAGGGCTATCTACGTCAAGATCAATAGGGACCCTCGGGTACCCGAAGATGACCTTCATCCAGGATAACATTCCTGAAGGCCCCGGAATTTGATGCATGATCTCCAAACAACTTGTAGGGCCTCGATAGCCCGGACCTATCGGATCAATCCAAAATTGGTCTGAGGTACGACGATGGGTTCGGAAGAGACTCATGTCAATGAGCAGAGGATCGGAATGAACGCTCATGCCCAAGTCAGATATCAACAGTCAACAGATAAAAGAAAGCATTCAAAGAGCCTTAAAGGGCATGAGAGCATACAGAAGCAAAGCAAAGTCCGAAAGCAGAAAGCAATGGGGTATATTCTTATCCATAAGAGTTTGTGTACAAGCAGCCCTCGAGGGGTCATTACGTACAATTACAATAACCTGCGGAGGATCTCTACGCCTAAAGGAAGAGACAAAGGGATGCACATTAGCCATGACGACCTTAATGTTATGAGCCCCTAGCATGATGTTCAGGGGTAAAAGAAGATGATTAGAAGGGAAAGGCAAGCGAGCCAATGGAAACACTGGGATAGGAAAATCAAAGCCGAGGAACCCCTATTTGTAGGAGATTACGACACGGTCGTCTAAGCTTCGGAAGACTGACCGACGGGCACAGTTAATGTATCCATGGAAAATCGAACCGACGGCGGTACCTTCTCACTGAAAAATGAGAATCAGGAGTGCAATGAATGAAGTTGAAAAAGCACGAGCCCGTGGATGTCGAATCACCGCGAAGCTCACTCCAGGAGTCGCATCATCGATATGGCATCGCCGAAAGAAGCTCGATGAGTTGAGTGTCAGAATCATTTCTCATCTCTTCGTTATGGGAATCGCGGAGACTATATGTACGCGACGAAATCAGAGGACTTGATTTCTCACTGTCGAGACATTTCAGAAGCATGCCTCAGGACCCCGAGGACAGGAGGCCGCGACCGAGTTCTTGACCTCGGGGCTCGTCGAAACCTGACTCGAAGGAAACAAAGGCCGAAGCCAGGATAGAGGGGGTAGCCCCCAAGGCACATGGCTACGTCTGACAGGTCCGACTTATCCAGAGCCTATGCTGAGGCATCACGTCAAGCCATCCCATCTCCGTACTTTGTAAATGATCTCCACATATTTGTAGACGAGTCTCCCCTCCTACATAAAGGGAACTCACCCTACCTTGTAAAGGCGGATGTTGCTCCATTTCTCCACTAAAGCGATAATATCTCTCTCTCTCTTCTCTTCTAAGTTGTTCGTTCTTACTGGCTCGAGGCCGCCTTAATATTTATTGCCTTCTTATTTATTTCACGCTGCATTGCTCAACATTGGCCGTAAAGAGCCTTGTTTAATCGTATCCTTAATTGTTACCCTATTCCCGGTCGCCCCAAATAGCTCGAGCTCGATTCGAATCCCGACCCCGAGGTCCTCATCGACCGGTCCTGCGCCAGCGGGCAACAGGCCCCTTCGGTTTAGTTACCGCTTTGTTCTACCTCACATTTCATCGTTTAACTTAGCATTCTTAGCATCTACTGCTTTAACAACTAGCTCGAGAATATATTATGTATTTTTAGAATCCCATTTAAAAATTTAATTGTTGTTACCATTTTTACGGTAAACACAATAAATGCAAGTAATGTAATAAACGTAAGTAATAAAATCAAGGGAGAATGTGTTTAAGTTAAAGACCAGAGAATGTCTTGTTCTTGTATTGAATGTTGTATATAACAAAATGATAAGGGTCCCCTTTATTTATGAGAGGGAATCCCAACACAGTACAAATGCATTTATTACAAGGATATGAGGCTAGTACAACCATTTAATGCCACGGTACAGGCTTGAACTAGCCCAATAGACTTGGTCGACTTTAATCACGTGCCTTGGGAACTTCTCGTTAGTCCACTATTGCCATCGATTTGCATTACCTCGAGATCGAATATTGAGAACCCTCGGGGTCGAACCTCGAGCTGTCTGGGGGAGGCCGTACAAAGCGCCATAATGACCATAAAATCGAACTCTTCGATTTTAGCCGTATAGAGTATTCATGTTTTAAGAACAATGTTTCGGTGAAACGGTGTTTCCCGCTTACAATTGTACAGTATGAGTTGTGGCCATGCTTGTCCATGATAGTTACAAAAGGAATGAATGAGCTACAGAGTTGTTCGCTCGGGCTAGTTTGGAACCGGGTGTCAGCCACCCCTTCCTAGGTTTGGGGCGTGACAGAGACGAGGAGTTGGTTCACATCCCAAGTCCCGAGGTAAGCATCACTACCCACGTGGAGGGTTTTTTAAGTGTTTGCACTTACCCCTTCCCACTGGGTCCCCTTGATCCGGTAGTGATCGACTTCTGAAAAACATACGAGGTCACTCGAACTCGAGCTTACTTGAACTCGGACTTAAGGCGATCCCTCGAGCCTGAGAAATCGATCGTGCCTGATTTCGACCGCATACATTGTGTATATATTCAATATTTCTTTCGTTGTGAGTAAATATACATGTAAAATTACTACTATGTGATTGGATATCAAATATACAAAAGAATAAATACCTTAGTAACCGCTAAAATAAATTTATGTTTTCTGCAAAAATGAAATGTCCTATTATTTTATTTTCACCCCCATAACTTGTTCCGAAGTCACTCGAGTAAATTGACGGGGCTTTGACAGTTATTACAACTCTATGTGAAACGACAAATACTGCTCTATTCAGAACCACAAAAATGCAAATTCGATGGGCAGTTAGTTAGTGTGCTGATATCAAATTCAAATTGGATAATGAACAAAGATGAAACCAGGTGAAAATCTTTGGTATTACACACTAAAACAATCCTAACGTGCATTGTATATTACTTTTTGATGAATCCAAGATGACGGATGGAACCATAAGGAAATTGTCAGAAGATGTTGTGATTTCCATATTTTTCAGGCTTCCTGTGAAATCTCTATCGCGATTAAAATGTGTTACTAAAAGTTGGCACGCTCTCATAAAATCCTTTAATTTCATCAATCTTCATCTCAACCGAACTACAACCACCAAAGATGAATTCATTCTCTTCAAACGATCCCTCAAAGAACCTAAAGGATTTAAAAATATCTTGTCTTTTCTTCTCAATGCTGATGGTGAAGATGATATGGATCCCGTTTCTCCTGATCTAGATGTGCCATATCTGCCCACCAGTTATGGTAGTATCTTTCATCAACTCACTGGTCCTTGCAATGGTTTGATTGTTTTAACAGACTCCATAAACTTTGTCTTATTGAATCCAGCAACTAGAAATTATAGGCTGCTCCCACCCAGCCCTTTTGTTTGCCCGCGTGGTTTCTATCGTTCTATTGGTGGTGTTGGATTTGGCTATGACTCTGGTAAAAAAAAATACAAGGTAATTAGAATTGCAGAAGTTTACGGGGAACCCCCCTTCAATGATCCTAGTGTGGTGGAGTGGAAAGGTGAGGTTTATGATTCGAGCACTGATTCTTGGAGAGAACTAGCTGATGTGGATCAAGAGTTGCCCTGGCCTTATACGTTCCCTTTCTCTGAGATGTTATTCAAGGGAGCCTTTCATTGGTATGCCCACAGAAATATGGTGGTAATTCTTTGTTTTGATATCAGCACTGAAGTTTTCCGCACAATGCAAGTTCCTGAAACTTGTGCTTTGTATGACGAAAAGTGTCATAGCCTCGCAGTCTTAGATAAGTCTCTAACATTTATTTGTTACCCTGACCAAAGGAGGGAGAGTAGCCCAATACAAGAAACGATTGACATTTGGATAATGGGGGAATACAGTGTAAACGAGTCTTGGATTAAGAAACGTACAATTAGATCTCCTCCTATTGAATCCCCATTGGCAGTTTGGAAGGATCGTCTATTGCTTCTTCAAGACAAAAGTGGACTTCTGATTTCTTATGATCTTGATTCTGATGCAGTCAAAGAGTTCAAATTAGATGGTTATCCTGGAAGTTTGAGAGTAATAGTTTACAACGAAAGCTTGATTCCACTCCCCATTGGTAGTACACAAGTACAAATTTTTTAGCGAAGGTATAACTTCTTAACTTATGGAAATGTTGTTGAGGTATATACTATTAACCATACTTTTAGATAAACTATATTCTCATAATATTCATGGTTAATACTCTGAGTGAGAGATTGTTGGGATATATACTATTAACCATGTGTTTTGATACAGTGTTTATTGAATTAATAAATATTTAAATAATAATCCTTGTGTCATTTATTTATACAGTAACTGTGAGCACGTGATTTTTGCCACGCTTAAATTACTCCTATAAATTTCTTAGAATTAAGATTTTTTCTTTATCATTTGAATTAATTGCATGATTTTGTGCCTTGTTTGCATTTTTTGTGTGCATCTTAGTTGCCCTAATTCATAAAAAGTACAAAAATAGTGCATTTGCATCTAGAATTCGATTTTATATTTTTAGTCTTACTAGTTAATTAATATTACTAAAATATAAAGAAAATGACAAAAACAGTCCATTTTTTGTTGAATTTGTCATGGGTTTGCTTTTAATTAGGATTTAATAAAATTTAGGAATTAATTAGGTTAATTTTGGAAATAAATTAGGTCTTTAATTTTGCAGAAAACATAAAAATACAAAATGAAAACAAAATAAATAAAAAAAATAAAAAGGGAAAAGAAAAGAAACAATTAAAAAGTAAAAGGAAAATATAGGCTTAGTGATATGCCCACATTTGGGCCAAATTCTAAATCTAATTCCCCAGCCCAAGCAATTCCCACCGGGACCCGTTCTCCCAAGCCCAATCTCCCATTACCCGGTCCAGTTCCCCCATGATAAAACGACGCCGTTTGGCGTCACACAATCCAAGCCGTCAATTTTCTCTAATCCAACGGCCACAATTGATTTTTGTATTTAAATAAAATTGTCCGAAAAATTATACAAAACCTAAAACACATCCTCTCTTCCTCGTACTGTGTCTCCCTGTAACGCCGGCGTAACGCCACCGTCACTCCTCCGCCGTCCGCCGCCGGCCGGAAATCGCCGCCGCCGGCGGCGATGCTCCAAATCCGCCCAAAATTTCAGCACAAGCTCCCCTTTTCTTCCTCTTTCCAAATCCCCAAATATCATCACTCAAATCATGACCAAACTTCTCGAATCTTGGATCGAAAATTCAGACCAGACGCAAGTTTGTCCAAACGACCCCAAATTCACACCCTACACTCCCCTAACCTCCCTCATCTCCAATCCCCAACCAGATTTCTTCAAATATCACTGGAGCTTTTCGAATTTTAAAATCGAATTTTGGCCGAAAAACCCTAAAACCCTAATGTTGGGGATTCTTTGATTTTGGGCTATAATAGCCCTTAATCATGTGTTTTCTTATGAAAACACATGATTAAGGACGGTTGTGATCCAAAATGCCAAGGAAACTCATCAAATTCGAAGTCGAACCATATCGGTGAGTTCTGTTTCTTTTGTTTTTTTGGTTTAATTCTTTGCCTCTGTTCTCATATTTGTTAAGTTCTAGTTTAATTTGCATTTTAATTTTGGGTCAATTTTGTGTGGATTTTTGTGTTCTGATTCGTGCTTGATTGTTCGTCTGTTTAGATTTTAGTCCGCTTTGATCCTTGACTCTAGTTTGGTTATTAGTTTGATTTTATCAGATTAGGATTTGTTTCGATACTTGTTCTGTCTTATAATTCTTCTATTTTTAGTTTAATTCTGGTTCATTTAAATAATAGTTTACTCTTCTGTCACTACAAGAAAAGGTGTAATTTGTGGAGGTTTTTTCTTAATTTTGTAACGGTTTCGGACCCCCACAAATTGAATTGTGGGGGTTTTAAGAAACGCCTTAGTTATCATCGCCACAAGGCTTTTTGTGGCAGTTTTAAAGAACCCCCACGACGACCTCCGCAAATTAAATTTGTGATTAGTGGGGGTTTTGAAGTCAATTAAGGGCGGGTTCTAACCTCCTTTATATGATTTTCAATGCTAAATAATAATAATTTGTGGTACTTTGTAATTGTCGCAATATAATTTGTGATTTTTGAAAAATAATTAGTGACAGTTTATAACCATCACTATAGGAGCTTTATGTTAAAAATAATTAATTAGTTGGGGTATATAATCGCCACAATATAATCTCTTTTACAAATTTTAATTTATGGGGGATTAATTACCATCACGAGTTGAATATTGAAATGCCCTTTGTTCTCATTAAATATTGCATGATTAAATAAGATCAAGCTTGTATTAGCATATGCATAAACAAAAAAATGAATTATATACTAAATAATACTCATTATATAACAGAAATCAAATTTCATTAAACATCCACAATAGCAGCAATCACTAATTCAAGTACTACAAATCATACTAAAGTAGCTCCTAAACATTACTACTTAAAATCCATAAAAGCACCAATGGTACCACATTATATAAATAACATTCTAAGTATTTGCTTGGTGATTCTGGTAGCTGCTGCCCGATGATCCTCTTACATCCACCGGCGAGGTAGGTTCACTCTCTGCATCATCACTAGGCTGAAACAATAAAAAGCATATTTTGATGAAAAATCTGACCATTATACCATATTTAAATTTTGAATGCTTCCTTAAAGCAACGTAGTAGTGATATTAAGACTCAACATTTCAAATGCAAATCCATTTGCTCCATTTCCATGAAAGCAATTACAATTTCCTTTCCTATGTCTACTCTTTTGGTTGATAGAATAGCAGAACAAGAACACCATTCATCTTCTAACTGATCATATAGTGCAGATAGACCATCCAAGTACTTCTCTATCACAATTTACAAAGAAGCATTATCCCAAAAAAAGGAAGTTATTACCTACAACTTGTGGGGAATTAGAAGCAAGATACCTGCTGCTTTTCCTGTTCAGTATTCACATTATGAACCAGAATAGAAACCATGTAAACTATTTTTTTTTTTGGCGTGAATCCATACATGTGAAATGTATTAACAGGAAAGCATGTCAACAGCAGTAAATTCATGCCTATGTATGACATATGGCATTAAAGAGTTTGTGTATATAAACCTTGATTAAGTATAAAAAGAGTATGTACATTTAAACAAAAGGGACTATAAATTTCTAGAGAGAGCTTCAGGAAACACAATTCAGGTCTAACATTCAATACTTTCACCTCAAATTACTAAATGAAAGTCTTTCATACAACATTATGTCTCACATAAGATAAGAATGGTAGTTGATTTGACACATTAAAATCTTGATTTATTGCAGGAGGCAGAAAGTTGCAACTGCTTTGCTTAAGGCCTGTGATGTGCTTGCAAGATTTTGGGGTTTTGAATATCTAGTACTAAGGGCATATGAGGGTGATTTTGGTGCTCAACAATTATATACAAATGCGGGGTACAGTGTAGTTTCAAGGCTCCTCTATGGAATTCTACGTTGATTGGTCAAAGAAGACGAGTTCTTATGGTTAAATAGGTCTCACTTGATTCAACTAACATTCATTGAAACAAAGACTTTGACAGTTACATATCAAATTGGTCATTCAAAATATCAGATGATGCTGAGTTGAAAATTAGAATTCTGTAAATTTGGTAAATGGTTGTACAAAAACTGTTTCATTTGATCTTCAGGAAAGAGTAAGTTTTTTCTGAATCTTTCATTATTCTTGTGAATATTTCCTTTTTCTTCAGAGGATTCATATATTCCTGGTTGACTCCAGTTTTGTTCTGGATTGAAGTATAGTTGATTGATCAATTGATATGGTTGCTTCTTAGCTATTTCTTTTCTTGCAAAACTGTTAAAAATATCAGATTTTGGCATTAAAGAGTTTGTGTATATAAACCTTGATTAAGTATAAAAAGAGTCTGTACATTTAAACAAAAGGGACAATAAATTTCTAGAGATAGCTTCAGGAAACACAGAGATAGCAAATGTTTTTCTTACTTGTGGTTGAGGAGCAAACAGACCAGCAAATTCCTCAGGAACTCTTCCTTCCTTTGATATAATGTAAGCTTTCAGTGTAGTTAAGGTGTCTGCTAATTGGGACTTCAAATGAGTGACCTCTTGTTGCAAATAGGTGAAAGTTGCAGACGATGCACCGAAGCTAGATGAAGAATGGTTCAGCGCATTAAGTCGTTGCTTGATATTCTTGAATGTATTTGAAGGAGCTGCTCCCATACCCATACATCGTACCCTCCCAGAATGCTCTGCCCCTAACACCTTGCCAATAATATCTATCTGGGGAAATTTCAGAATTATTGGTATTGCCTTGAGTCGATTCAATTTGTTCCTACAAGCAGACAAATTATCAATTAGTATGTACAGAAAGATTGGGTTGCAAAATGTTAAAATAGAACTTCAAATAATGTCAAAGAAACACACCAAAGCTGAATGTACCACTATAGTTCTTGCCTCATCATTTACAAATGATCCATCATTTCTCTTATGAGTTTCGATAAACATCTTTCCCCGAGTAGGATATTCCCCAGTTTCCAAAAACTAAGAAAGAGATAAACCAAGTAGATTGTAATAAAGCATTTAAATTAGATAACAAGTGAAAACTATTCAGTTAATATGAATACCAACTCATGTCGTCGTCTCGAGTTAACTTTGGATCCGCCAGTGTGAGGCATTGTTTGCTTGCGTCGAATTTCTTTATTTCTTCTACAACTTTCCAATCAACAAAATAATAACAACATAAAAAATTAGTCTAATATTTAATTATATCGACAGCAAAATCTATTCAGATAATCAGAATCTTACAATTGTTGATGATTTTAGACGATAAGCAATAAAACCAGCCCACTGGTCTCTACTTATGCCCGGTGGCACATTGCTTAAAAGTTCAGTTCTGCTTTTGGCCGGGTCATAAAATTCATCCCACAACCTATGTCTATGTGTAGCCCACTTCTTATTCAAACTAGCATTGCAATATCTGTATGCAATGGCATTAGTAGTCCTAAAAAAAACCGAGGCTTCAAATGAAAAAGAAAAACAAAGTTAGTTTTCTATACATGCATAAAAATCTAGCTACAATAAATAGACAGATGTGTAATACCTTTAGCATGGTTTCAAAGCAGTCTTCCTTGTATTTTTTAGGAATACCAGACGGTCCTGACCACCTGTCAAAATTAATTGGGAAGAAATTGCCATCAATAGCCAGTAATCCACAATATCCCCCATATGCTGCATCGTAGATTTCAAAGTCCACAATGATGCGTTCTCCGATAGGTAGGTTGTTGACCTCATTGACCTTGATCTTGATGTGCTTGGTAGTGTTGTTTGAGTCTTTAATAAAAAGACAAGTTAGTCAACAAAAAATAAAAACATCAGGAATTTGTAAAGTGAAATAAACATAGATATAAGGCATATACCTATTGCCTCTACTTTCCAATATTGTGTAGATTCACGTCCAGGATGGCGTGTTGACATTGCACTTGGATTTGAAGGCTGTGTTGGAGCTTGTTCTTGTTGTGGGACTTCATCAGCTACTGAGGAACTTGCAGGAGCATGTGAAGGAGCTTGTAACGATGTTGAGGGCTCTATAACAAGTGACGGGGCTGGAGTTGTTGATGATGAAGAACGTCCAGGAGCATCATATGGTCCATGAGCTGATTTTAATGGATTTCGGAAACGTTTAACCTTTGGCATAGCTGCATATTCATAAGAAAAATAGAAAATTGGTGAATCAAATATGATCTAGTGCATTGAGATGAAGCGAACATGGAACTATGGTAGAACTTTAATTACCGAAAAAAATCTACAACATTGTCACCTTTACTGTTTTATTCAAACAAAGGAAAGGAGTAAAAATAGAGCAAAGAAGGAAAAGGATGGCCTGGCAGCGACTTAGACATGTGAAATTAAGCATAACATAAACATTAGAGATGTTTAAAACTAAAGAAAAAGACTGCAATTATAATTATGAAACTTCTTAAACTACTTCTGTTTGGTATTAGTAGAATAGTGTTGCATGTCCAAAATAGTAACAAAATAAACTTAGAGCTCACGGATTTAAATTCTTTTCTAAATCAGTTCAAGAGATAGAAAATATAAATAATTACTAGACAAATGAAAAGAGCGTACTTTTTAATTGCCAGAACAAACATATATTACTCTAAAAATAATGGATCTATTGCTACAAACTAAACATCAGAGAAAAGATGATTACACCAAATTATCCACAAATCATCCAACATGGTGAGTGGCAATTAGATGCACTAGATGTGGATGTACCAGACATTGTTAGAAGTATATTGCAACAACAATCTATAGACTTAACTCTAGGAGCAGTGGATAGAGCAATCTGGTCTGCAAACAACTCAGGAAAATTCACAGTAGCTTCAGCCTGGGAATTATTACGGCAAAAACAAAGTTAGTCACCTATGGCTTCTAAAATTTGGCATAAGCAAGTCCCTTTTAAGATGGATTTTACCAGTTGGAGGGCAGTACATAATTGGCTGCCCACAGATGACAGGATAGACATGTTCGGCTTTAATTTAGTCTCAATGTGTTCCTGCTACTACCCTCTTCTGAGCTAGAAACCGTGGAGCACATTTTCTACTATAGTAGTTTTTTCCAAGCTATTTCGAAAAAGTACGCAGGTTTGTTTGGTATTCAAGTTGAAGGACTGCATTTCAAACAACTACGGATAAACTGGTGGGGACATAAAACTTTGAATGTAGTTGCTTCTCTCTTAGTTAAAATTCTTCCGGTTGTGATCATCTGGGAACTCTAGAGATTGAGGAATGCCTCAAAATATGGGGAAGAATCCCCATCAAGATGCAGGTCGGAGTATAAAATCATCTTGTTTCTCTATGAGTTATTAAAGCAAAAGTTTGGGAGGCTACAGTTACAACACTCTTGGGAACAATTGCGATAAATTGTTGATAAACCAGTAATACACAAATCATGCATTATTGTGAAATTAAAAAAACCACCAGAAGGGAACTACAAATTGAATACATATGGTAGTTGTCTTGATGGTAGTTGCGGGGCAGGAGGAGTTATACCAGATAGTAGGGGGAAATTTGTATTGGCCTTCTTAGTTTATCTCGGACATGGTACAAACAACTGGGCGGAGAGCCAAGCTATGCTCTTTGGATTGCAATTGTGTGAAGCAAATGACCTTGACAATATCCAGGTAGAGACAGATTCGCAAATACTAACATCATGTATGAATAGAAAGACCACGACGCCACAGAGGATGATCCAAGCAGTGGACACCATCAAACAGGTAATCGAGCAGAAAGAGTTTGTCGCGCAGCATTGTTTTCTTGAAGCAAACAAAGTAGCAGATAAATTGGAAGCTCTTAGTCATACGCACAAAAGGCGTCCCGTATAACCAGCTGTGAAAGGCTCCTAAGACTAGTTAGAGGACTTATCCAACTTGATAAATGGGAGATGGCATCCTTTAGAATTAGAACATTGAAAGCTAGGGAAATTCAATTTCAACCCCCATAATGTATAGATGTAGCATTGATTCTTTGGTACAGTTAGGATGCATAGAGGATAAAGGTTGGAATGTCAACCCCTCAAAATCACGAGGAAGCTCTTCCTTAAATTTTGCCCATTTAACCTTCGTCAATAAAAGGACGCTGCTTTGACTAAAAAAAAAAAATCATCCAACAAACACAGTCTGCAAACCATTTCAATTCTATCGTACAACCAGTTGATAGTAAAATCTGATGAAGAAACAAGCCAAACTCTAATTACCAATATTCTGTATTTTAGGCATCGAACATAAACAGGCTCGACTGCGTCTTAATTACCAACAAACTACACAGGCAAGTCTACTACTAATTACCAATATTCTTTATCTTAGGCGGAAAAAAGAAGGTCACTTTCAAGTTGTAAACGGTGCAAAACTAAAAGTCCCAACTCTATATGTACATGTAAGTCAACTTCTAATTAATAACCCATATAAAGTATAAAGTAGTACTTGCTGTAGATATAATTTAATTTAAAGAATACAAAATCAACAAATAAAAGGCAGAGGCAAATGGAAACTGACCAGCTGATGGTTGGAATTTGGGCTCTCACGCATGCTTCTCTGTTGAGGAGCTCTGTAAAGGGAGGGCTTTCAACAAATATAAGGGGAAGGCAGGTACGATATAAACGGTTTTTGTGAAACCACCCATGATTCTTAATATACGAGGGAAATGGAAAAATATAATGGAGGGAAAGGGAAAAAAAACAATGGAGGGAAATAGAAAAAACAATGGAGGCAACAAAAATATGTGGATACGGTATCAAGGCTTAAATTGCACTTGAGATATATACTAGAAACTTTGGGTTTTATTTGCCTATTGGCTAAAGTTAGGGCTAGGCATATTTTATACTTTATTTCATTGGGACTCTACTCAATCTCGATACATTCAGCATTCCGCTCGACTCAATCAAAGATCGCGCTTGATTGAGCTGGCTCGCTAGGCTCGTTTAGCTCAATTGGTCATGTAATTTTATTTTTTTACAAAAGATATTCAATCATTAGGCTCAATTGCTAAGTAGTAAATTAGAAATCAACAAATATTAATTCAATAGTTAATTCTAAAAGTAGTAATATTTTTCTTAATCAATCAATTTAACATGAATTTTTAACTACATTCTGTCTTAGATTAAACCTAAATTATCATATTCTTCACTTAATCTCTAAAATTACTCTTTGTGATGTTTTATTAAATCACAGAGAAAATTAAAATTTAATTTTCCTTTCAATTATAATTTTAATATAATATATTAATAAACAGAAACCATTATAGGCATCTAGTTTCCGGACACAAATAAAAAGAGCCGGCTCAAGCTCGATCAAATTGTAGTAAAGCTCGGTTGAGCTCAGCTCGGCTCCATAAGATACAAAGTTCGATTATCACACTAAATTAGACGTGTGTGAGTTTTTTTCAGTTGATGTTAAATCAACTTTTTTTAATAGAAAAGAGGCAAGACTCTTCTCGACCCCGTTTCATTCAAAATTTGATTCGATTGGATCAAAGATCGGGCTCGATTGAGCTGGCTCGACTAGGCTCGTTTAGTTCGATTACTCGTGTAACTTTTTCTTTCCAAAAAAAATTCATCATTAGGCTCAACTGCTAAATAGTAAATCAGAAATCAACAAATATTAGCTCGGGAAAATTGTCGTAAAACTCGGTTGAGCTCAGCTCGGTTCCATAAGATACAAAGTTCTATCAATACATTTGATGATTAAACGTATGTGAGTTTTTTTCCGGTGATGTTAAATCAATTTATTTTTTAAAAAAAGATGCATGGCTATGGTAGATCCTGTTTTATTCTAAATTTGGTTTGACTCGGTCACAGATCAAGCTCGATTTAGCTAGCTCAGCTAGGCTCGTTTGGTTCGATTAATCGTGTAACTTTTTACAAAAATATTCAATCATTAGGTTCAATTGTTGAGTAGTAAATCAGAAATCAACAAATGTTAATTAGATAGTTAATTCTAAAAGTATTAATCATTTTTTCTTAATAAATCAATCTAAAATGAATTCTTAATCACACTCTATCTTCGATTAGACCTAAATTATCTTTTTCTTGACTTAATCTCTAAAATTACTTTTTTTTGTCATGTTTTATTAAATCATGATTATAGAGAAAATTCAAATTTAATTATCCTTTAAATCGTAATTTTCATATAATATTTCAATAAACAGAAATCATTAGGTTACTTTTTTATCATATTTTATTAAATCATGATCACAGAGAAAATTAAAATTTATTTATCGTTTCAATTATAATTTTAATATAATATATTAATAAACAAAAACCATTATAGGCATTGACTAGTTTGCAGATACATACAAAAAAATCTGGCTCGAGCTCGGTCGGTTGAGCTCAGCTCCGCTCCATGAGATACAAAGTTAGATCAATACACTTGATGAGTAGACATATGTGAGTTTTTTCTCATTGATGTAAAATCAACTGATTTTTTAAAAAAGAGGCATGGCTATGCTAGATCCTGTTTCATTCTAAATTCGGCTTGACTCGGTCAAAGATCGGGCTCGATTGAGCTTGTCACGACCCAAAATCCCACCACAGGCGTCGTGATGGCACTTAATCTCTAAGACTAAGTAAGACAATTACAATTATATTTCGAGCCATTGTTTTTGAAACATATAATTTAATACAAGTGTCGAAACCAAAAGCAGAAACAATTAAAAAAAATTCAAGAATGGTAATACTAAGTCACGAACTCTAACCGAATACAGCAATAATCAAGTACATAATAGTGTTCGAATAAGAGTGACAGTACAATAAAAATGGAAAGACTCCAAGGGAATGCGACGACCAAGCAACTCTACATAATTTTTACGAAATCCGAACACCCATTCCGATACAAGTTCAACCATACCAATTTTATCAAATACCGATAACAACTCGGCCTCCAAATCTTAAATTTTCGTTCTTGAAGAGCTTTGCAAAAATCTTGATTTCTTCCGTTTAAATCCGTAATAAACGATTAATATAACCATGGATTCATGAAATATAATCACTTTCGGATATAGGACACTTATCTAAGTTTAAGTCATGAAGAATTCCTCAAAATCGCCCAAGAACCGAGCTCCAAAAATCCAAAACGAAATGGAGGAAATGACCATTTTTGGTCCTTATGTTTTCTGTCCAGTTGCGCTTCTGCGGACAGCATTTTCACATCTGCGGCCTCGCTTTTGCAAGCCAAAATGCGCATCTGCGATGTCCAAATGTCCACTGCCCAGCAGGAGCTCGCATCTGCGGAGTACATTGCGTATTTGCAATGTCACTGTTGCGACAAAATGGTCGCTTCTGCGTTCCAGCCCACTGCTGCCAGCTTCCGCTTCTGTGTCTTTATTTCTCGCTTCTGCCATCCCGCAGGTGCGTGTATTTTGTCACGACCCGGATTTCCCACCCTCGGGAGTCGTGATGGTGCCTACCAATAGGAGCTAGGCAAGCCAATTAATTTAACACTTCTCTCAACATCATTAACAGTATAAAGAAGAACGAGGCAATTAATATAAAAACGAAAGTCTCGAAACATAAATAACTGAAACCAAGTGCGGAAATTCAAATACACCTCTACCCAGATCTGGTGTCACTAACTCATGAACTTCTACTGAATGCTAAATACAAAGTCTGAATAAGAATACAGTACTGTCTGATCCGATACAAGGGAAATCAAACGAAAGACAGAGATAAGAGAGACTCCGGGCCATGCGGACGCCAGCAAGCTACCTCAGAAATCTCCGGACTGAAGTAAGCTCCCAACGCTCCTACTGCTGACCAAAGGCTCCTGCTCCGGTACTATGATCTGTGCAAAAATCACAGAAGTGTAGCATCAGCATAACCGACCCCATGTGCTGGTAAGTGCCTGGCCTAACCCCGGCGAAGTAGTGACGAGGCTAGACAGGACCTACCAAAAACAACCTGTGTAGATATATATATACAAAGACAACGGAAATAACAACAGAGAATATCAACTAAAAAGGGGAAGGGGGCATGCTCGGGGAAAAATACAGCGAATACAGATCAACGGACATAACGACGAAACTATCTCAATACCATAGCTCATATATAAGTGGTCGGCGCGCCAGCCACGATCCCATTTCTTAATTCATAAGTGGACGGCATGCCACACGATCCCATTTGTCATAATATAAAAGTGGACGGGCGTTGCACACGATCCCATTCATAAAATATTATATAAATAAATAAATATATATATTATATATATTTATTATATAAGTGGACGACGTGCCACACATCCATATTATAGAGTATAAGTGACGGCGTGTCCACAACATCCCATTTCTTAATATAAAGTGGACGGCGTGCCAACACGATCCCATATCATAGTTCAAAATATCTGACTTTGTAAGAGAAGGCCCCATAGGTGAATTCAGAACAATATAAACACTTTAAACCCGGCAATGGTACAGCTAACATTGCCCAAAATTCCCGGGCAAGGGAGAGTACATAATAATAGTCTACACGTCCGGCAAGGAATAATCACCAAACATTCCTTCTTTTAAATCACTTCCTCTCAACTATCACATCCTTGTCGAGCCAACGCTCCAAAGTATACCAATCACAATTCTCCTCAACCGTTCCACTTGTTATTGAAATTTAAAATCGATTAAACAAGGAAGTTGGTATCACATCATTCGAATTAAAAGCAATAAGACTCACGGTTCATGCTAAGACTCCGGTGCATAGACAACCGTCACCCATGCCTATACACCATACTTCCACATTTAGCAAGTAGCAAATAAACATGCCTAATCCTGATTCCCCAAGTCCAAAGTTAGAACAAAACACTTACCTCGGTCCAAGAATAGCAATCAACTCTCTAATACCGCCTTTCCTTACAATCCAACTCCGAAACACATGATATCTTAGCATAATTAGTTCATAATATCAATAAGGGCTCAAAAACATAATCCCATATCCATAGAGAATGAAATTCCAATCATTCTTCCAAAAAACCCAAAATTCGGAACCGGTCCCACATGGTCCAAACACGAGGCTCGACCAAAACCCAATCACCTCATAACCCCACGAGTTCAAATATTATTAATTTATTTCAAGATTCGTACCCCCAAATCGAGGTTTGAATCACCCAAAATTCTCAAAACCCTACGTGTCTACCCAAAACCCCTAATTTCTACTTCTTGATTTCATATTTAGGGCTAGGAATTTAGTGATTAGATGAGAGAAATTAAGAGAGGATGAAGTTAAGAACACGTTACCAAGAGCTATGGAGGAAAAGGCCTTCAAAATTCGTCTATGGAGTGTTAGGGAAAGAGTTCGTGTGGAAAAAATGGGAATTCCCGTGCTGCTACTGTTCTGACATTAAAAA